ATGCTTTTTTGTAGTAAAAGATGTGACCCATTGACATTTGTACTCAAATTACAGTAGTTCAGAACAAAATATCCACATCAACAGAACTCTGAGTGACCAAGTTGATGTATTGCATCGCAACACTCTGCAATCTGCTCTATCGAAAGATCTATGTCCCAAATGAAGGCTGAATGAAAGACTTACGAGAGAGTGAAACGAAACACTTTGAATATCTAAAGACGAATTTAACGGAGAATATGGGAAATTTGTTGGCTAAGGGGGTTCCCTTGATTAACAAAGTATCCTCAGTCCCACAAGCCGACAGTGGTATGGATGAAGCACTTCGCACACTGCATAACATAACGAGGAAAATAAAAGCATCCTAAAAGAGATGAACAGAGTAGAGTTCAAGAGAACTGCAATTGGACATCAAGGTGATTCTACAAGACACACAAACCTGGATCTTTTCAGTACCATAGCAGAAGATAAAACATATGAGGGCAAACAATACTACATTCACCAGCCATCAGAAACCACTGTTAATGACTCCATGACAGTCCTAGTCTCAAGAGGACTCTCAAGAAATTATCTTAAAAACAGTGCAACTATTAAGAGAAACTTCAATAAATATTTTAAAGATATGGCCATAAAATCGACATTTGTCACCAAAGGTGGATCATTGATGATTGAGCTCACATCTAAAGAAGATGCAATAAGAGTAGAAGAATCATGAAAGGTGATTTCTTTGCAAACAGTAACATGACTACAGAATGCAGGATCTTAGAAAAGCTAAGCTGGCAGTCATTCTCAAAGGAGTACCCACAAACATTCAGGATAGTGATCTAACAATTTCTGTGGAAAGGTGTTATCCAGGAGCTAGGGCAAAAAGATTTGTGACACGGGACAACATTTCTCTGAAAACTCTTAAGATCAACTTTCAGACTAAGGAAGACTATGAGAAATGCTTAGGAAAATGGGTTAAAAGCTCGGACAGGTAATTTATACTGCGGAAGAGTATAAGCCGAGAAGGAGAAATCATCCAATGCTACAATTGTCACAGGTTTGGCCATGTTGCTAAACTTTGTACCCAAAACCATGCAACATGTAGCAAATGTGGAGACAATCACCATTCCAATCAATGCAAGAGTAACCGAAGAGACTACTGTATTAATTGTGATGTCTTTGGCCATGTAGCTACAAACAGAGATTGTTCAACATACCAAAATATTGTCATGAAACTCAACATGCAACCAAACAAATGTTCAAAATCACCCACACAACCCAACAGTAGATTATGATCTTTGGCCAAATAAATATAGCAAAGATGTCAACTAACTCTGATATGACACTTGACAAGTTTATCTACGAAAATGAGATACTCTTGATGGCGGTTCAAGAAACAAGCTCTTGGACTCAATCAGACGGAAGTTGCTAACGTATCCGCCTAGTTTACAGTCAAGGGCGTGGTAGATACTGTTAACATTTCCACAAGCACATATTACAATACACTATTACAATACAATTTTTTTAAAGACTAGTATAAATGGATATCGTTGTACACTTTACAGTTTACAGTGTACATTTATTGTATCACGTTGTGACCCATTGTTATTTTACATAGTGTGTATCAGGGCGAAGGTCACGATGCAATACAAGGTTATGTTCATAAACATAAAAATTGGGCGGAATGACAAGCCTACCTGAGCGCCACCCAGTAAGATCTAAATGGGTTGACATCATCAATCAATAAAAATGAAATCCTTAATTGACGATCATGTCAATTCTTTGCAGCTCGGCAAGGCCTAGTAGCGCATCTTGCAAGACTCATTATTGGATGCGCGGCACGGCCCAGTACAAAATAAATCATTTCTAATTGTTAAATTCTTTGATGTTTGAGGACTTCGCCGCTTCGATGTGCCGCGCAAATTATTAATGCCAACCCTAATGTAAAGCATTTTGCCCTTCTATTCGCCTGGGGGGTGGGGGGATTCGGAATAAGCGTTTTAAAATACACCGATCCAGGCGACTTTCATACACTCGGACTCTTTTCACATGTCACAGCACAATATTAATTTTCTTTGAGCGATCAGCGTTTTAGTGGAAGCAATCATTAATCATTATTGCTTCGCGAACTGAATGAAATTTTAGTAAATACCAGAATACAGACATACACACTAAATTTTTCCTAAGTTATATTATTATAGAATTATATATTATTATAGAAATCAACGTTTTTTGCGAAAGTTGTTTCAGTTCAAAGTATGGGTTTTGTACAACCCCTTCATCTAAACTCAAAATTTTACCAAATCAATGAAATTTTAATCATTTTCAATTTTGGGCACAGCTAATAAGTATTTTGACCAAAATCCAAATAATCTATGAATAATTCTGAAATATACAGGGTGGGCCAAAAGTCAGTGTGCAAACGTTGGGTCTTATACCTCCGCCGTGTTTTATATTTGAGAGCTATTGCTTTGTAAATGGCAAACTGTACTTACTGGTTCGAGGATTTCGTCATCAAAATTTGAAAATTCGAATATTTTAGACTACGCCCATTCAATATTAAAACACCTATATTGTTTTCTCTGAACATGCTGAACGCCTAATTTTTTTAGAGACGGTAGATTATCAAATTTTGCATTTGATCTGAAAACATGAGGCAAAACGGATTAGAAATGACGAAGTTATCAAGCACTTTCTGTATCTCGTTAACAAAATTAACTGGGTGATTATGTGACACCGTGACACAACACCTTAATTGGGCACCCTTAACAATTCCCATAATGTTTAACGGGGTAGTTAACGGGGTCACCTTATCACGTGATTAGGTAAACCAATCACCTGATCAGTCACACGTAATGAATAAACTCGTTATGCTTCATATCTCGGTCATCTGAGAAGCTACAGTTCTAATTCTTTCAGGACAAACGTAATTCGAATGGCCAAACACAATTCAATAACATTTAGCTTGATCCGACTATCCAAACTATCAAATAAATGTGAAAATGAACCTCCATTTGAAAAAAAATGAACGCGAATATTTGTCGAGTTGACAAATTCCTCGAACCAGTGGTGGTACTAAGTCATACCAGAAGGAAGTATTTCAATTGGGCACTCAGTGACTGAGCTATTAAGGCCAACGTTTGCACACTGACTTTTGGCCCACCCTGTATTTTGAATTTTAAACAGCTAAAAGTCGCCAAATTTAGTTTTTATGTGCTTTTTAAACATTATAGTCCAAAATGCTGAAATTAAAACTGGCACAGTTTTGTTTAACGGGTGATACTCGTAAAATATCTGTTCCATATACCGAGTCCAACTCGGCGCGCGGCCTGGTAGGTTGTAAACCTACAAAGTCTTGTCACTATTATGATATATTAACTATCTAATGGATTTTCCTTGCAGGGGTAGTTAAGATTAAAGGAATTTCTGTGGAGTTTTTTCAGTCACCTGCACAAACACGAGATAAACTGGACCATATTGGTATTACATGGATTTTAAGGCATAAGGAAGCATTATTGTATTGGGTTCAGAATCCAGGTGTAATCGATTTATCGTGCAATTTAAGGTCATGAATGGTCATTAAAATGAGTTTATGACAATTTTGATAATTTCTAGCTTTCTGTCAGAAAATAAATCTGAGCTTCTATAGGGGGTAATTAGAAATACACTACAGTATAGTATACTTACATCCACATTCACAAGCATGTGAGCTCACCTGGTCTAATGAGTGGGAAACGGCAAACATGCTCTGGTAACGCCATAGTCACGTGACCTCAGGCTCATTGTCACGTGACCTCAGCAGTGGCGTAACGAAGGGCCCCGCCAACCTGTTTGGGGGTGGGGGCACAATCTTAGGGGGGGCGCCAAATCGTCGTTTGAATGTGGAACAATTTGGAAAAACTTAACTACGGTACTAGAAAAACTGCGCGTTTTGCTGTAGAAACACACTGTTTTAGATATTTTACCAGCATTACCCATAAAATCATCTAATTTGTTCAATTTTAGGGAGGGGCACCAAGGGGGGGGGGTGCCAACAGGGGGTCGCATTTTCAGCCCAACAGGCAACATTACGCTGCACTGGACCTCAGGCTCATAGTCACATGACTTCATACCCAATCAACTGGGTTCTGGCCTGGTCAGCTCCTTTTCACCTGATCTCAAGGTGAAGTATGTTAACCCAATCAATGTCTGCAAATTTTCACATGCTGATGATTATTTTAGTATTTTTGTTAAGGAGTTGTGCGAGATAACAATACATATACAGGCCGCAGAATTTTGTGTATTACCAGATCGAATCAGCTGGTGGAACTTAATCAATCCATGATATCACGACAGGCCATACTTAATTGTATTCCCGATTCCGCTCTCGGCTTACCGGTAGAGCAATGTCAGCAGACACCCCCACGGGCTCCCCCCAAGCATATTTGAAAATGTATGCAGTACTATCATATCATGCTTTTGTCCTTGTCTCCTATTATAGCCCTGACTGACTCTAAAAATCTTCAGTCCAGTACATTTTGGCTGGAATTTTGTGTTTCATTAATTTTTTATGCTCTAAATCTCACCTTACTGTGCAGGTCATGGTTGAATGATTCAATTACAGCTCGGCATTGCACCAGAAGTGTTGAAGCCTCATTGTTTAAAACCATCCAACAACAACACTTGCAAGATGATTATTGAATTAAAGATAGGGTCACAATCACTTAAGGTATTTATTTATATTTTGTCTGTGGGCATTTCTGATAGATACTTTAGCATTGTGGGCATATACTGAATAGAGCATTTAAAAAATTTATCACCCATTTGATTTCTATCGTTCCAAAAATTTCCAGTGATTAGTCCAAGATTTATGCTTGTTCAGACAATTTTATTTGCAAAAATAAATCATCAATTAAATATTTTAAATACTTCACATGTTCAAATATATTTTCCAATGATGTTATTTTGTTGATAAAATGACAGTTTTTGCAACCTATTATCAGGTTGACAAAGAGTTATTAGCACGGTACAGTGATTACTTTGATGCAATGTTCACCTCTCCTTTCTCGGAACAGTCTAGTGATGTCATCACTTTAAAACACATCAACTTCAGATCTGTTAAAGTTATTGTTGGTAAGTGAATCATTCGTTCTCTAATTCTCTAGTTTTCCAAATCTGATACATCCTTTATTGGAGGCCACTGGTCAACGGTAGCGATGTTAGAGCTTGGTGGGCCACAAATCCTGACCTCCTCGTAATTTGCATACCAAAGGAGGACTCTCGCTATGCAATTTGAACAATTCCAACGGGAACCATTGGTTTTAGCAGGTTGCATCTTTTTCATAATTAAAAAAGAGACAAAATATTAATCAAAATTTGATTCCTTCTGCTAATTCAGTTATTTAGTTGTTATTTCGGACAAGGAAGTATAACAGTATTTAAACACTTCAGATTACATCTACAGTGGAAAGCTGGTGTTAAGTCCGTTCAATATAGAGGACGTGTTTCTCACTGCAGATTTTCTACAAATTCCAACAGTCAGACAAAGATGTTTGAAATTGTTTGGAAAACATTTAGCACCCAACAACTGTATAAATGTAAGAATGTTAATTAAGAATGTTAATTAAGAATGTTAATTAGTTTAAGAATGTTTGCCAACTTTGTGGGATAATCTCAGTACAAGTTGTGGAATAGCAAGCCTTTCCTGAAAATCAGTCTTAGTGATGTAACATGTGTATTGTGTAATTATTAATTAAGCTATCAAAAATTCTTATTTTCCGTTACATATTTTTACAAATTCGTCAATTTAAATTATCTGACTGACTGACCGTTTCAGATCTACAAGCTTTCAGTACAGCACGGTTTAAAGAACACTGAGAGATCAGCAGTTAGAATAATAATGAAGTGTTTTGAAGAGATCTACGAGGACAGTGATTATTTAGGTCTGCTAATTATACCAAATTAATTTATTAGAAAAAATACGAATTGAATTCAGCTTAGATCTTTTCATATTTTTACATACAGTTTAACCAGATTGCGAGTACAGCTGATGAAATTACATCCACATTCCTCAGATTTCTCCAGTAAGCTCCTGTTTTATTTGTTATCAGACTGTGATCTCAACATTTCACAAGAGATCTTTGTGTTTAGCGCTATCGAGAGGTGGATTGGTCATGATCCTGTCAGCAGGTTAGTTAGTTTGCTTCTTTTTCTCCTTTTTTCAGATTATTATTATTATTATTATAAAACAGGATCTTACCGACAAAAATGATTCTTAAAAATACCTTAATGCGGTAAACTGTACACTTGAAAAAGATTTTCCCAACATCTGTTGCATGCAGCTATATCTCTAATTTCGTTTTTCAGATTAATGTAAGAAAACACCAATTTGACAATAAATCCCACAGTATCAAGCTAAGACCTTACGATTTGCAGTTTTTTTCCAAAAAATGGTCAGAGTTTATCGCTAGATTTCAGGAGATTTTACAAAGAAGAGCTTCTCTGCTGTGTTATGGTGGATCTTCTCTCAAATCAGGAATTACACAAGGTTTGAATTTCTGCGAACAACATCTTTTTGTCATCTAATTTTTCCGAAATCTAGTATGATAATATCGAATAACTGTGTGTTAACACACGACGTCACACCACATGACACGACGTCACACCACGTGACACGACGTGATACCACATGATTAACCAGGTGATAACAAGTGACCTGGTGAAGAACTCCCCGGACGTGAAGCAGCATTACAAAGAGATATTATCAGCAACATCACGTGACATGTCAGGGAAACGGAGGAACTTTAAGGGAGGAAAAGGGTTGGGTAAAGAGAGACTGGGTATGATAAACGGGCGAGTGTATATTATCGGGGGGCTCGCAGACACGGTAAATAAACTCTACTTTACTACTGAATATGTTGGAATGTTTTACACAGTACATTGGTTTAAAATGATTCGAATGAAGGCTTACAGTGACAATTGTAAAACGCTTGCATTCCTTACAACTAATAACTTATTCTTAATATTTATACCAACAAAAATAGTGTTTACTCTCACTCACCGCACACAATTCCAACCCAGAAAGTCCCATCAGACGTTGAGGTGTTCATCCCTCACCACACAAAGCTATCACGTGACCCCAACACTTTCGTCCGGAACACCTTCACACCAGCGGTTGATGACGTCACAAAAACACACAGTGATGACGTCAAAGTGATGACGTCACAGCTCCCAGTCGTTACAGTGGAATGTGGCGGAAGGAATGTAACCAGGAGTTATGGAGGTGGAGCTACTGTTGTGGACGGGGCTGTGTACTTGGTGGGGGGTCGGTCTGATAGTGGCGTCTCTGATAAGGTTAGGAATGAAGTCTTAGTTTAGCTAGATTGTTACTGTTCGTGATAATATTGAACTTTGAATGACTGTAATAAATAAAGTCAGCAGTAAATATATGAACTATGAAGGCCTTGTTTTCATTCTTATTGAAAAGCTCAAATATCATTGTGCTGCTCTCAGTTCAATGTGATGGAATAGCTACGTGACTTCAAACAGTCCGCAAACATTCTTCTAGAAACTGAACGTAATTAACATGAGCCTACCCATTAGTTGTACCAGTTGGAGTTGCACTCACAACGGTACAAAGAGGTTGGCAAAGTGCCAGTTTGGTGTGATCACGTGACTGTTACCAGCTCTGATAAGAAAGTGTTTGTTATCGGGGGTTATCAGCTCTCTGACACTGGATCTCTTACTCCTTCATCTCTTGTTCAGGTATATTGTTCTTATTTTTTATTGCATTAAAGATAGCATGATTGTCTTAGAAATTGTATAAGTTTCTTAAATGATATTAATGTTGTAATGATGTTAATATAGCGAAAAGTTTATTTCTTTAAACTTTATTTCAGATATACGATACAGCTTCGCAGGAATGGACGACAGGTCCAGAGTTAACTGTCCCCCGGGCTCATGCAACATCCATCGGTAAAATACATTTGCTTCACACATAGTATACACTACATAGTATACTGTACATTGTATACATTATACATGCATAGTTAACTGTATACATGTATATACATTGGGTACTCTATTCAAAATTCAGTGCATACTCTATAATTCATACCACGATATCTGAATATTATTTCATGCATAGGATAACTTCTGCAGTGGTCAAATTATCACGCAAATATCAAGACGATACTCCGAGGGAGTATATAATATGATCAAACTTCAAACTAGTTTCTCTACTGTAACAGCAGTAATCCTGCGAAGGCGGTTTAGCGTCTAGTCGTTCAATCAGAAAGTTTTGATCATTGTAGGATTATTTTTCAAGGGACTCTTAGGGTGTCACCCAAGTGTTTCACGTGACATTCATGCTTACATTACAATTGGTATCGATTATTCATAAGCCTTTTGCGCTTGGTTTACTCGAAGTCTTCTCTTTGTAAAATACGTTTATTGCGGTTTTATACTGTTACGGTCAGTAATGTATAATGCTAATGTACTATTATGCACGATCTTGTCTTATAATGCACGATAAAGTTGTATTCAACTATTCGTTGTATTTCTGTATTCTAGATCATGTGACCACCTCAGGTATTGACAGTGGCGGAGGATTGGCCAGCAGAGTGTTAGTTTTAGGTGGATACGGCACAAACAAACTCTCCTCGGTAGAACTTATAACTGATGGGGTATCTGTGGAAAATATGCCGCCAATGTTGAAACCAAGGTGAGCGAGATAAGTAGGCATATTCCTTAATTTCAGGATGCTCATTTTAAAGTTTATCTGCTGTTAAACTGTGCGGTTATAGAATAAACCCAAAAACAAACTTTTGCTGATCGTGAAGCGACTCGTAACTTGAGGTAAAAGCCGCTTTGGCTGGCAACGAGTTGTAAGGAGAGCACGTTTCCTTGATTTGTGTATGCGATTTGTATGCGATTTCACCCCTGTATGCGATTTGTGTTCCGGGGTATTTGGAACAGGTTTAGGGTTTTAAATAGTTAGTACCTGTCCCAAACCATCATAAAAATCAAGTTTCGACCTCCCAACCCACTCAGGCCACTCCCAGGGGCCACGCCCATCCCAAAATAGCTGAAATCCTGGTAAAATCAAGATTGAAAATCTTTACCCCCGTATGCGATTTATGTTCCGGGGTAGGTGGCCCATGTTTTAGTATAAAAATGGGTACTGCCTATCCCAAACCATCATAAAAATCAAGTTTCGACCTCCCAACCCACTCAGGCCACTCCCAGGGGCCACGCCCATCCCAAAATAGCTGAAATCCTGGTAAAATCAAGATTGAAAATCTTTACCCCCGTATGCGATTTATGTTCCGGGGTAGGTGGCCCATGTTTTAGTATAAAAATGGGTACTGCCTATCCCAAACCATCATAAAAATCAAGTTTCGACCTCCCAACCCACTCAGGCCACTCCCAGGGGCCACGCCCATCCCAAAATAGCTGAAATCCTGGTAAAATCAAGATTGAAAATCTTTACCCCCGTATGCGATTTATGTTCCGGGGTAGGTGGCCCATGTTTTAGTATAAAAATGGGTACTGCCTATCCCAAACCATCATAAAAATCAAGTTTCGACCTCCCAACCCACTCAGGCCACTCCCAGGGGCCACGCCCATCCCAAAATAGCTGAAATCCTGGTAAAATCAAGATTGAAAATCTTTACCCCCGTATGCGATTTATGTTCCGGGGTAGGTGGCCCATGTTTTAGTATAAAAATGGGTACTGCCTATCCCAAACCATCATAAAAATCAAGTTTCGACCTCCCAACCCACTCAGGCCACTCCCAGGGGCCACGCCCATCCCAAAATAGCTGAAATCCTGGTAAAATCAAGATTGAAAATCTTTACCCCCGTATGCGATTTATGTTCCGGGGTAGGTGGCCCATGTTTTAGTATAAAAATGGGTACTGCCTATCCCAAACCATCATAAAAATCAAGTTTCGACCTCCCAACCCACTCAGGCCACTCCCAGGGGCCACGCCCATCCCAAAATAGCTGAAATCCTGGTAAAATCAAGATTGAAAATCTTTACCCCCGTATGCGATTTATGTTCCGGGGTAGGTGGCCCATGTTTTAGTATAAAAATGGGTACTGCCTATCCCAAACCATCATAAAAATCAAGTTTCGACCTCCCAACCCACTCAGGCCACTCCCAGGGGCCACGCCCATCCCAAAATAGCTGAAATCCTGGTAAAATCAAGATTGAAAATCTTTACCCCCGTATGCGATTTATGTTCCGGGGTAGGTGGCCCATGTTTTAGTATAAAAATGGGTACTGCCTATCCCAAACCATCATAAAAATCAAGTTTCGACCTCCCAACCCACTCAGGCCACTCCCAGGGGCCACGCCCATCCCAAAATAGCTGAAATCCTGGTAAAATCAAGATTGAAAATCTTTACCCCCGTATGCGATTTATGTTCCGGGGTAGGTGGCCCATGTTTTAGTATAAAAATGGGTACTGCCTATCCCAAACCATCATAAAAATCAAGTTTCGACCTCCCAACCCACTCAGGCCACTCCCAGGGGCCACGCCCATCCCAAAATAGCTGAAATCCTGGTAAAATCAAGATTGAAAATCTTTACCCCCGTATGCGATTTATGTTCCGGGGTAGGTGGCCCATGTTTTAGTATAAAAATGGGTACTGCCTATCCCAAACCATCATAAAAATCAAGTTTCGACCTCCCAACCCACTCAGGCCACTCCCAGGGGCCACGCCCATCCCAAAATAGCTGAAATCCTGGTAAAATCAAGATTGAAAATCTTTACCCCCGTATGCGATTTATGTTCCGGGGTAGGTGGCCCATGTTTTAGTATAAAAATGGGTACTGCCTATCCCAAACCATCATAAAAATCAAGTTTCGACCTCCCAACCCACTCAGGCCACTCCCAGGGGCCACGCCCATCCCAAAATAGCTGAAATCCTGGTAAAATCAAGATTGAAAATCTTTACCCCCGTATGCGATTTATGTTCCGGGGTAGGTGGCCCATGTTTTAGTATAAAAATGGGTACTGCCTATCCCAAACCATCATAAAAATCAAGTTTCGACCTCCCAACCCACTCAGGCCACTCCCAGGGGCCACGCCCATCCCAAAATAGCTGAAATCCTGGTAAATCAACAATCAGACTGAGAATCTTTACCCCCGTATGCGATTTATGTTCCGGGGTAGGTGGCCCATGTTTTAGTATAAAAATGGGTACTGCCTATCCCAAACCATCATAAAAATCAAGTTTCGACCTCCCAACCCACTCAGGCCACTCCCAGGGGCCACGCCCATCCCAAAATAGCTGAAATCCTGGTAAAATCAAGATTGAAAATCTTTACCCCCGTATGCGATTTATGTTCCGGGGTAGGTGGCCCATGTTTTAGTATAAAAATGGGTACTGCCTATCCCAAACCATCATAAAAATCAAGTTTCGACCTCCCAACCCACTCAGGCCACTCCCAGGGGCCACGCCCATCCCAAAATAGCTGAAATCCTGGTAAAATCAAGATTGAAAATCTTTACCCCCGTATGCGATTTATGTTCCGGGGTAGGTGGCCCATGTTTTAGTATAAAAATGGGTACTGCCTATCCCAAACCATCATAAAAATCAAGTTTCGACCTCCCAACCCACTCAGGCCACTCCCAGGGGCCACGCCCATCCCAAAATAGCTGAAATCCTGGTAAAATCAAGATTGAAAATCTTTACCCCCGTATGCGATTTATGTTCCGGGGTAGGTGGCCCATGTTTTAGTATAAAAATGGGTACTGCCTATCCCAAACCATCATAAAAATCAAGTTTCGACCTCCCAACCCACTCAGGCCACTCCCAGGGGCCACGCCCATCCCAAAATAGCTGAAATCCTGGTAAAATCAAGATTGAAAATCTTTACCCCCGTATGCGATTTATGTTCCGGGGTAGGTGGCCCATGTTTTAGTATAAAAATGGGTACTGCCTATCCCAAACCATCATAAAAATCAAGTTTCGACCTCCCAACCCACTCAGGCCACTCCCAGGGGCCACGCCCATCCCAAAATAGCTGAAATCCTGGTAAAATCAAGATTGAAAATCTTTACCCCCGTATGCGATTTATGTTCCGGGGTAGGTGGCCCATGTTTTAGTATAAAAATGGGTACTGCCTATCCCAAACCATCATAAAAATCAAGTTTCGACCTCCCAACCCACTCAGGCCACTCCCAGGGGCCACGCCCATCCCAAAATAGCTGAAATCCTGGTAAAATCAAGATTGAAAATCTTTACCCCCGTATGCGATTTATGTTCCGGGGTAGGTGGCCCATGTTTTAGTATAAAAATGGGTACTGCCTATCCCAAACCATCATAAAAATCAAGTTTCGACCTCCCAACCCACTCAGGCCACTCCCAGGGGCCACGCCCATCCCAAAATAGCTGAAATCCTGGTCAAATCCATACAATCAGACTGAGAATCTTTACCCCCGTATGCGATTTATGTTCCGGGGTAGGTGGCCCATGTTTTAGTATAAAAATGGGTACTGCCTATCCCAAACCATCATAAAAATCAAGTTTCGACCTCCCAACCCACTCAGGCCACTCCCAGGGGCCACGCCCATCCCAAAATAGCTGAAATCCTGGTAAAATCAAGATTGAAAATCTTTACCCCCGTATGCGATTTATGTTCCGGGGTAGGTGGCCCATGTTTTAGTATAAAAATGGGTACTGCCTATCCCAAACCATCATAAAAATCAAGTTTCGACCTCCCAACCCACTCAGGCCACTCCCAGGGGCCACGCCCATCCCAAAATAGCTGAAATCCTGGTAAAATCAAGATTGAAAATCTTTACCCCCGTATGCGATTTATGTTCCGGGGTAGGTGGCCCATGTTTTAGTATAAAAATGGGTACTGCCTATCCCAAACCATCATAAAAATCAAGTTTCGACCTCCCAACCCACTCAGGCCACTCCCAGGGGCCACGCCCATCCCAAAATAGCTGAAATCCTGGTAAAATCAAGATTGAAAATCTTTACCCCCGTATGCGATTTATGTTCCGGGGTAGGTGGCCCATGTTTTAGTATAAAAATGGGTACTGCCTATCCCAAACCATCATAAAAATCAAGTTTCGACCTCCCAACCCACTCAGGCCACTCCCAGGGGCCACGCCCATCCCAAAATAGCTGAAATCCTGGTAAAATCAAGATTGAAAATCTTTACCCCCGTATGCGATTTATGTTCCGGGGTAGGTGGCCCATGTTTTAGTATAAAAATGGGTACTGCCTATCCCAAACCATCATAAAAATCAAGTTTCGACCTCCCAACCCACTCAGGCCACTCCCAGGGGCCACGCCCATCCCAAAATAGCTGAAATCCTGGTAAAATCAAGATTGAAAATCTTTACCCCCGTATGCGATTTATGTTCCGGGGTAGGTGGCCCATGTTTTAGTATAAAAATGGGTACTGCCTATCCCAAACCATCATAAAAATCAAGTTTCGACCTCCCAACCCACTCAGGCCACTCCCAGGGGCCACGCCCATCCCAAAATAGCTGAAATCCTGGTAAAATCAAGATTGAAAATCTTTACCCCCGTATGCGATTTATGTTCCGGGGTAGGTGGCCCATGTTTTAGTATAAAAATGGGTACTGCCTATCCCAAACCATCATAAAAATCAAGTTTCGACCTCCCAACCCACTCAGGCCACTCCCAGGGGCCACGCCCATCCCAAAATAGCTGAAATCCTGGTAAAATCAAGAT